AATTTAGCCATTATTAATTGTTAATCTTTAAAAAAAAAAATTACTTGGAAAAGAATTTTTTTTGTTTTGGAAGCATTTTCCTCACAGGATTAAAAAAGGTTTTTAATGATCAATTATTTTTTATAGTATGATGAGAATTTTTTTAAATTAATTATTCATTTTATTGTTAAAATTCTTTATTAAATTTCTTTAACTTTATTTTTTACAAATCGCTACACCATGAATTTATTAATTTAGCCTACCCAATTCACCTGTACCGCATGTCTTTGGACTGTGGGGGAAACCGGAGTACCCGGAGGAAATCCACGCGAACGCAGGGAGAACATGCAAACTCCACACAGAAACGCCAACTGAGCCGAGGATCGAACCAGTGACCTTCTTGCTGTGAGGCGAACGTGCTAACCACTGCGTCACTGCGTCACCACTACACCATAAAAATATGTTAACAGGTTTCATATTTTGTGATTCCCAAGTATTTTCAGTTTATTTGCCGTTGTAATTTGCATTATGGGATGTCGATCTCTGCTCTGTCGACTTTTAATGTTGAAAATTCAATTCTACAATTTAACAAAGTGACTTTTATTGACATTTCAGTAGTTTGAAATACTACAATGTATAAGAAACAATATATATAGAGAGAAATAAGTCTGTAAAACAATAATTCATTCAGCTGTGGCGACCCCTGATGAATAAAAAGACTAAAGCTGAAGAAAAAATTTATAAATTAATTTAACAATCTAAATTTAAAGATTTTATACACCCATCGGCCACTTTATTAGGTACGACTGTCCAACTGCTTGTTAACAACATCGGGTGCCACTATTGTCAGCTATGAACAGGAAACTGAGGCTACAATTCACACAGGCTCACCAAAATTGGACAATAGAAGATGAATGAAAAATGTTGCCTGTCTGAGGAGTCTTGATTTTTGGCTGCGACATTAGGATGGTAGGGTCAGAATTTGCCGTCAACAACACGAAAGCATGGATCCGTCCTGCCTTGTCTCAGCAGTTCAGGCTGGTGGTGGTGTAATGTTATGAGAAACATTTTCTTGGCACACTTTGGGCCCATTAGTACCAATTGAGCATTGTGTTAACACAGTGGAGCTTACTTTGTGATTATGCTTGGTGTTTCTTTGGTGCAATGAGATTCTGTCAGTCTCGTCCTCTTTTGTAAAGATGAAGCGGTATTTCTCGCCTTAGCCTTACGTTTCCACACACCTATTTTAATGCTCATTTTGGATTTGTGCATAAAAATGATAGATGGAAACATCATGATGCACATAACTTTTGAAAATACGCACATAACTGAGAAGGATAAACTTTTATTCAATAGAAAATATGCGCATAAACTACGATGAAAACACTTACTGAACCAATTACAGTATGTGCATTAAAAAAGGCTTGTTATAAGAGATCCTATGATGATAAAAATATGTGTGAATGGACAAACCAGCAGGCTGAGTACACTAAAACACGTCTTAATTGTTGTATTCCTCATTCATTTTGAAACACCTTAACTGTTTCAGAATTAATGTTATTATATTATTATTGACCTCCAGAGCATCTGGAGCGTGTTAAGAGCTTCTGTTCTCCGCGTCTCATGGCTGTAAACGCCCCCACGTGTTCATTGAGTGTCAGCATTGTCTTCTGAGGTGGAAGTACGTTTATTAAGTAAAGAAAAGATTGACGCAGCTTCTTCTACCGCAATAAATTCTGTTTTTACTGTTGATATTTGGTGCCGGTTTAATCAGGAAGTGATGATTTTCTTCTCTTTGACTTGTTGGATGGAAACTGCTTTATTCGCATATATCATTTATGCGTTACTGCAGTTTTTTCACATTAATTTAATTAAAATATTTGGATGAAAAACAGCTATTGCCTACATTTCAGTCACACAAAGAACAAAGTCACGTACGAGATTGTCTTGCCTTTTTTATTAAATAAAGCTTAAATTCACCAGATCAAACCTGGAGCTCTTTTAAGAAATTTTAGTAAATCACATTAAAATTGGTACATTTAAATTGCAAACCACAATTTTGATCAGATAAATTGCAATTAGATTTATTTTTTCTGCAGCCCTTATTTCATAAGGGCAAATTCAGAATATTTTACTTACAATGCACACAACTCACAATTACAGGTCACAATTACTTGTGCACTTGCAGATAAAAAGTCACAACTACTTTTTAAATTTAGAAATAAAGAAACATGCTTCCATAATTTTCACTTCCTTTAAATTATTTACTTAAAAGAAATAGTATTTTCTTACATATCCATTTAAAACTCCAATAAAAAAAGCATACAGTATACTACAGTCAGTGTATAGACATTGGCCTGCAATAACTGAATACACTAGGCTAATTCAGCAGATGAAAACGGTACTGTAATGTAGATAGTCCCAGTGGAGACTGTCTAATACGTCATTCTCATTGGCTTCCAGCACACTGTTTAGAAGCAGTTCACTGTGCGTGGGTTTTGAGCAGAGTTTAAACAGCTTTGTCACATGCTTTTTAAGAATCAATCCATTGTTACCGCTCGGTTAACCGGTCCCCAAGACTCATATTCTTCTCGCATCTGCAAAAATGAATCTGGCATTGTTCAATATTGGCAAAAGGCTTTAGTCAATAAGGGGAAAAACTTGCACCGTCTGCAGGAAATCGCAGTTGTAATATTGATTCCTTAAAGAGACAGAATCAGCCGGCGTAGCCAATTATTTTACAGTCACTCTTGCGCTTAAAAGTGAAGCACTCTGATGTGATGAGCTCCTTCAGATAGCTCAAAAGAGTCTTTAAAACTTAGAAAAGAGTTTTTAAAAGACAAAGTCCAGATATCTCCCTTTTTAGTCGTGGACTGAAAACTTCTAATGAGCAATTCCATCCAAATGTCAACCTTTCCACGAAAAAAAGAAAGTTTTCACCAAAATAGCGAAACCCTTTTTAAGTTTTTACATTTTAATACATACATTACTGGAGAGCATTAAATACGTCCCAGGAGCTCCCCCCCCCCCCTTTTTTGCATTTTTTGTTTTCACAAGGCCACCAGAGGCCACTTTGTATGCTTTTTGAGATCTCAAATTTCTCTCACGAGTGTTCTTTGCACCTGCTTATCTCGTGTAAATCCACCAGAGGTCGCTGTCGACTGACCAATCCACCCCACCGACCCCCTTCCCAAAACCCAACCGATAGTGTTTTCAAAAGCACGATAAACCAGCACCCACCCCCTTCCCTAAACACAACCGATAGTGTCTTCAAAAACACAAATTGACCAGTGTCCACCCCTTCCCTAAAGCCAACCGACATTGTTTTCAAAATCAATGGAGAAAATTAGATTTTTGGATTTTTACAAAATTTTTAGATTTTACTATATTCTAACGCTGTTATTTACTTGTATATCTTTTGGCTTTTGGTTTTGTCTTACCTGTTTTCTGGAACTGTTCTTTGCCAGACTCGAACCCTGTTTCTTTATATATATATATATATATATATATATATGTAAACAACCCTCTAGTAATATCATCCTGCTTCTTTAGATGATCAGAAAAGTTTGCATTCAAGTATAATATCAAACATTTCTCATCAAATGGTCACACTTTAATTTAAATGTACAATTCTCGCCATTAATAAACTATTAATTAAGACTTTTAGCTCATTATACTACTAATATTCTGCTTATTAAAAATTAGTAAGGCAGTAGTTGGGTTTAGGTATTGGATAGGATTAGTGATGTAAAATCATACATAAGTATGAATAAACTGCCAAAATCATATTAATAGGCAGGTAATCCCCACATAGTGGTTCCTAAACTAAAGTATAATAATAAGAAGGAAAAACATTTATATAATTAAATATTAAACAGACAAAATGATCATAAACTTTTTTTGCCCTTAAGTAAAAGCAAAAAAGTGGATCACACTTTATTTTAATGTGCAATTCACGCTTTAAGCACAAGTTGATAATTAGTAGTTAGTAAGGTAGTAGTTGGGTTTAGATATTGGATAGGATTAGTGATTTTGAATGAGATCATACTTTATAAGTGCTAATAAACAGCCAAAATTAAATTAATAGACAGATTATAAGTAGGCCCACACGAAATCTGCGCACGCAGAATTACGCAGACTTCTAGCCCATCGATTCTGTTTATTTACTTTTGTAAATGTGTGTAAATGTGTATTTATTCAGTTTTTAAACTTATTTCAGTATAATTATTGACTAATACGAAAATATTCATGATTTATTTACAATACAGTTTATAAAGTCATATTAGTAGATATATTATATGAGAGACTTGCTTTGTTTACCAAATAAAGTGGATCTAATTGGATTTGTATTGTAAAGATTACATAAAAGTTAAAAAGGTATTACTTTTTATTTCATACATTAAGATATTAGGTATGATACTTCCAAAATAATTCTGAATAAATCCGCAGATTTTTAACACAATTCTGTGCAGAAATTAAAAAAAAAATGTCCACAGATTCCGTCTGGCCCAAGTTATTAGTCACTAGATAATGGTAAGAATTGGTACTTAAACTAAAGTGTTACCAATCAAATTTACAACATGAGTAAGTGATCTGACCTATACATAAATCAACATTTGACTAGAATTTTAGGAAAACCATTTATATAATTAGTTAGTGCAACCTATGAGCAATTATTTATTTTTTAACGCATTTACAGAAGATGATTATACACTTATTTTGCGCTTAAGTAAATGCAAAAAAAAGTGGATCACACTTTATTTTAATGCGCAATTCACATTATTAACAAACCATTAACTAAGACTTTAAGGACAATAAACCCATAATTAACTGCTTTTGAATAGTTTGTAAGGTAGTAGTTATGTTTAGGTATTGGGTAGGGATGTAAAATAATATAATACTTTATGTGCTAATAAACAGTTCATGAGTTAATACTATTCAGGCAATGAGAAAGTAGTAAATGGTGTGAATTGTTTAAATGTTACCAAAAAGTGACTGAAATTATAAAATATGAGTCTTACTTTCTCTATGTAGTCGACATCCTTCTGGCGCAGACCTCTGGTTTTGATTTTTTCTGCTTCGTAACATGTAAATAATAGGCAGGAGATGAGCAATATTTGTGTGTTGAAGTGTCCCATGTCTGAGCGGTTTGAGAGGACGAGGAGTCTTTACATCTGTTGAGCTCTAGATGGAGAGAGAGAGAGAGAGAGAGAGAGAGAGAGAGGTGGAGTTGATCTCTCCAGAGACCAATTACTCCCAGAGCGCAGCTGAAACCTCCATCTACATGCAGAATCTCAATATAATGGGTTATGATATGACATGAAACAAGAATCAATATTTCTGATGGTCACATCAGTGTCTACTGATGTTTGGCACAGGTGGGATGACCTTTGACTTTTTTTCCCCATCTTCGTACCTGCCCAATTATGTTGTTACAGTCATGCTGATTTTTATTTCTTGCAATTCTGAGTTTATATGTCACAAGTCTGACATTATTCCCAGCTATTCTGGCTGTTTTCCTTCACAACAGACCATTATTTCCTCATAATTGCAAGATAGCAAACTCATGATTGCAGTTTTTTGTAACTTAAATTGCTAAGATGTGTTAGTGTGTTGCATTTAAAGTTAAAGTTTTAAAAAAAAAATTCCGACTGTCTTACACTTCAGACAGAATTGTGACTTTATTTCTTGCAAATCTGAATTTCATGCATCAGTTATGACATTCTGACTTTCCTTTTGCAACTGTCAGCTTTTCTCTTGCTTTTCCCCCTCAGAATTGCTTCATGAACGCAGCTTTTGGAACGTTTATTACAGGATACAAGATATGGTGGGCAGGTCAATTGATAAAATTGGTTGGGTTTAGGGAAGGAGAAGGGTGGGTCAGTTGATTGGTCGGACGGTCAGTCAGTCATTCATTCTGTCATTCAGTCAGTCAGACAGACAATCGTCAGCGGCCTCTAGTGGGTTTATGCGAGAACAGCAGGTGCAAACTGCACTCACGAGAGAAATTTGAGATATGAAAAAGTGCACACAGCGGCTTCTCGCAGATTTGTGAAAACAAAAACTGCAATAATACATACCCCCCGGTACGCATTTCGTGCTCTCCAGAAACGTCCACAGGGCTAAGTTTTCAGAATGAGCCTGGGTTGTGATGTTTACTTGCAATTGGTTATAACAATTATGCATGCTGCTGTCACGATCACCAGCGATCTTGCATTTGCAGAACACTAGAGGACTATAAATCTGTCACTTTAATGAACTACAGATCCCATTTTGCACTTCACTCACACACCTGACCCAGATTCCAGCTGATTGCAAAAACGTAACAAGTGGACTATAAACACAGCACACACACACACACACACACACACACACACACACACACACACACACACACACACACACACACACACATTGTTGTCTTGTTTGTCTGTAGCATTACAAAGCATAACCTAGTTTAGCCCTTGTTTTGTTCTTTGTTTATGCTGTTAGCCGCCTGCACCAACTACTGTCTGTGACCACAACTACACTTTTGGAGTACCCACATGAAACAGTTTGTTCCTGTTGACCATTGCCTGCCTGACAACAATTCTTAATAAACTGCGTTTGGACCCTCAACTCTGTTGTACCCTGACTCCTTTTGTTACAGTATTTTACATTACATTTTTTTTTTGTTAAGTCACTTTTTAAATTTGTAAAAAGTCGTGCAATCAATTTTGTGTAAGGATGGTATTAAAAAAAAATAATAATAATATTTATATATATAAAAATATATATATATATATATATATATATATATATATATATATATATATATATATATTAAGTAATATTAAGGAATGTTTATTTTTTAATTGATGTAACCTGATGATTTTTAATCAAAATAACGTCCTCTCCTTCTTCAACTGCATCTATAGTCTGATTGGCGTTTACGTACATGAAGGTGGGAGCAACCTGTCAATTTTTTTTTTCTTGTTCAACAAGCTGCCACTCAGATATACACTACCTGACAAAAGTCTTGTCATCAATTCCAATTGTAGGAGCAATACATAATAACTTGACTTCTAGTTGATCATTTGGAAAAGTGGCAGAAGGTTGACTTTTCAGATGAATCATCTGCTGAACTGCATACCCATCATCACAAATACTGCAGAAGATCTATTGGAACCCACATGGACCCAAGATTCTCACAGTAATCAGTCAAGTTTGGTGAAGGAAAAATCATGGTTTGGGGTTACATTCAGTATGGGGGCATGCTAGAGACAGGATACAGGATATCGTTGTATGGATGCAGTTGTCCAAGCCCATGGGAGTCTTACACAATATTAATGTTTTTTCCACTGCACCATGACTTTATATTGCAAACTGGACATTATATCTGTTCAGTGACAAGACTTTTGTCTGAGCAAAGAAAGACCTTACTGTCCTAATTAAATAATTAAAAATTAAGGCATGCTTATAATTTATTTTGGTCAAATAGGCGTAATCTAGAGGCATTTGCCTTTCATATAAGCCACTTCTGATACCAAATGATCAACTAGAAGTCAAGTTATTATTAAGTTATTATTTGTTGATCCTAAAACTTGGATAGGCGACAAGTCTTTTGTCAGGTTTGTTTTGTAACATCTCTTTTCTTCAGATGTTTTGTCTAAAAGCATGAAATAAATAAATCTCCCTAGTTCACTATTTTAAATCTCAAATTCTCATTTGCATACATTCAAATTTGCTATGCAAATGTGTTTTGAGAGAAGAGGAGACATCAATTTAAGTTTTGTGGGTGGAAATATATTCCTCTATTCAAGCTTTGTTTTTTTAAGTATGCTCGGCATCATGCTGCGCACAGCATTAGTTCTCTAACATTCATATTTTATGATCAGATATTTGTCTTAAAATAACTTTGTAATCTCCTCTGATAATTGAGCAGGAAGTCATCCTGCACTTTAAAGGTCTAGCAATAATTACAGAGTTGAGAGTTTTTTCAAGCACTTCTGAAATCAGGAAATAGTTCAGTTCTACCAACGTACAGCAAGTCTCTCTCTGTCTCTGTGAAAATGTTTGAATAAGAAAAATACTAAAGCTTAAACTGTTGTTTTTAAACATTTTAAATTTTAGATTATTCCTCACACAAAGCCATACATGAAGTGATGCTTAGAATATAGAGCAATAATAAAAATGAAATAATCAAGATATTAATCAAATGCACTGATCAAAAAATATAATAAGAATAATATATTTTCTGATGTACTGGTGTAAAACGTTTGATGGCTGGAGTAATGATGCAAAAAAAAAAAAAAAACCATTGAAATTCAAATGAACACTGGGAGATAGGGAACAGATGCCAAATATTACAAAAGGAGAGTTCACAGTCATCATGGTGGGAATCTCAGTGACAGCTTGAGTCATCTGAAAACACTGGAAAACTCCCAATATTCAAACGAGTGGGCCAATATAATGACTAAAACAGCCTCGTATGAACGTTTACTTTACAAATTACATATTAAGGACTAAGCAGGGGTCCCAGTATGAACCCCAGTATGGGAAGGTTTTTGGTCTTATGAGACAATAGCCGCGTTTCCACTATCGCGCCTAAAGCGAGCGAGCCAGGGCGAGCCAAGGCCAGTGGCGTTTCCACTGTCACTTCCGGGGCCTAATCGGGCCAAAGCGGGGCTTTCTCGGGGCCAACAGCCAGCCTTTTTCGGCCCGCCGAATACCTTGGGCCAAGGAGGGCCAGCCGGGGCTTCGGGGCGGAGTGAAAGGAGAGGCGGGCACAGTTTTCCGATCGCACTCGAGTACATGCGCCAAACAAATAAATAAATAAGGTCAAGAAAACATCTGGAACAAATTATAGGCTGGGGTCTTTTTTGCATATGATCGCCCTTAAGTTTCTCTTTTAAATGTAAGGTTGTTGCATACAATGATCTTTCTTTGCTGCATCTTTGATGTTTCAATAACGCATAATAATCTTTACACCATATTAAAGACACAGCAGACAGTAAAGGATTTCAAGAGGTTTTGTCAAGTTTAATACTGTGTGTGTTTTTGCGCGTTTAGATGCCTGTGTATGTGTGTGAGACCGAAAAAAGAGCGCTCCATTCATAGCTCTGTTGATGCCGCGAGCGGCTTTTTTCTTTTATTTTTATTGTTTTAATTTATTTTGGAGATAATACACTATATGAATACAACAGTAGGACATTAAACTTTACAAATTTCATGTCCACTTTTGTAGGCTCAAAACAATAGTGTAATATCTAGATAAAATAGCCCTATATTGAAATAATTTAAAGAATTACAAATATTAGATAGGCCCAGAGGTGTGGACTCGAGTCATGTGACTTGGACTCGAGTCAGACTCGAGTCATGAATTTGATGACTTTAGACTCGACTTGACAAAATATAAAAAGACTTGCAACTCGACTTGGACTTGAACATAAATGACTTGGACTTTGACTAGGACTTGCCCCTATTGACTTGTAAAGACTTGCTGCTTCCCATGAAAAGCCCAACGATAAAAAAGTATGTTGACATGGACCGCTCTCTCTCTCTCCCCGTTTATGTGTGCGTGTGTGTGACAGCATGCGCGCGCGTGTGTGTGAGCATGCGCGCTTTCGGCATGACGTCCAATCGAAGCACGGTAGATTGTTTTGATTCGACAGTATCCAACGTGACTACTATGAGGCGCCGGAGTGGACAAAAGTCAAGCGAACGCAGAGAGAATTTGAACTTGAGATCGAGCCAATACTCGCGTGCCAATACTCGCTCTCTCTCTCTCTCTCTCTCTCTCTCTCACACACATACAACATACACCTCTCTCTCTCTCTCTCTCTTTCTCTTTCTCTCTCTCTCTCTCTCTCTCTCTCTCTCTCTCTCTCTCTCTCTCTCTCGTGCATTCAGTCTCTTTGCGTTCGCTTGACTTTTGTTTACGATGGCGTCTCATACCTTTAGTGCTTTTGCTCTCACGGGATCCTCCTGTTAAACTGACCCTTCGCTAAGCCACGCCCAAAAACCGCCACCCACCAATCGCGGCTTACCAATCGTAGCTACGGGCAGAGGCTCTGTCAAGCTTTCGAGCGAGGGAAACAAGCCAAATCGTTGCGCAATTGGATTGTGAAAATCTGACACCCGCTATCCTAAAAGTTTGGACTGGGTGGTGGGATTTTTCCCTTTTCAAAAC